CCTTCCTCTAATGACTGAGTCTTGGATTTCCTAAACCTATTCAGTACATGCAGCCTGCCTACAAAACTCATTGTTAACAGAAGCTTTTCCAACAATGTTTGCTTTGAATAGTGTATGCCACATGGCTGCCACCAAGCCCTGGCTTTCACCACTTGTCCTTTCCAAAAAGTTTCATAGAACACCAGAGATGTGTAAGTACTTTGTGAATAAGTAGCGGTTCTATGTATCCCATCAATATGGGTCATACCACTATGAGTGGCTTTTGCAGCTTCTTTGATCTGAGGGCCTGTCTTGAAATGGACAGACTCATGTAGGGCTTTTCCTAAGGATGCAACTCACTCACTGGCCAAGTTCTTGGACCTCTACCACTTTGCCTTTAACCCTTTGCCAGAGAAGAAGGAGAATCCCAAAATCATTTGAGTTCCAGCACATGTTACAGAGCATGTTGATGGTAATGCAGTGAGTACGAAAACTATGATAGCCAGGTAGGCAACCTTGAGGCCATTCCAGGTCCCACAGCACTGCCCTATGATCCAGACATAAAAATCTTGCAAGTATTAGCTTTACAGTGCCTCTCAATGCTCTAGAGCACACCAGTGAGCCATCGCCAGGTCACACAGCACCACCTAGTGCTCCAGAGAACACTACTGAGCAGGCTCCTTATTCTAGTCCTCCAGCCTGTGGCTGAAGATTTAGCTGCCCCTGTCCTCCAGCCTGTGGCTGAAGATTTAGCTGCCCCTGTCCTCCAGCCTGTGGCTGAAGGACCAGCAGCTCCTGTCCTCCTGCCGTTTGCTGAAGGCCGAGTCACTTCTGTCTTCCTGCCTGTGGATGAAGTCTCAGTTGCTCCAGTCTTCCTGTAGTGTTCTGTGCCACTATAGTGTCTGCTACTTTTCCTGTTCTAGTACTGATTTCCTGTCCTGTTCCAACTTTGTCCTCCTAGAGTCTGGTTCAGCCGGTTTCCCAGTCTCATGCTTTGCTGGCCTCGGTAGCTGGCCTGGTACCCTCAGACTGCATCCCTGGCCTTTCTGTGATAGAACTCAGGCAGATCTGATGTATGGATTTATATGTCACACGGCTAAATGTTGTAGAACTCAGGTAGGAATGTTTATATTAAGATACAAGTGTGGTAGAAGTCAGGTGTGAATGTCTGTGTTACCATATAAGTGCAGTATAACTCAGGTATGGATGTCTGTATTACTGAATAAGTGTGGTAGAGCTCAGGTACGGATGACTATGTTAAGACTTTATAAACATGGTGAGAATTAGATTTAGATTACTGTTTTGACCTTCTATTGTCAGCTGCTTTGCAACATTTCACTACTATATACAAAGCCCTTTGATTTACAAACATACCTGGTCAATAAACCTTAATTCTATAAACCTTGAGTCTGTTTTTTCCATGTCAGATTGAACTGAATTATAACTGTGGCAAACAGAACCAGATGCTCAAAGCAGAGGCTTGAGTTGGAAGCTTTAATATTCAAAAGTTGCAATCAGTAAACACAAGCAAAAGGTCCATATCCAGAGAATCAGAACAGTACAAAAGGGCAAGACTAGAATCATGGTCATAAACAGAAAACAGGTCATACACAGAGTAACAGAAGGAAACACAATGGAAACACCCAGTACGCACATATGAGGATACTTTACAAAGATCGCTACCAGTTTATAAATGTAAACGGCAAATCATCTGTTCTTACAAAAGTAAGGTATCGTGTTCCACAAGGCTCTGTTTTAGATCCACTATTATTTGCATTATATATGCTACCACTGGGTACCATTATCAGTAAACATGGCTTCAGTTTTCACCACTGATGACACACAATTATACATCACCAAACCAGATGATAACCTTCAATTTAAGATTAAGGGCTGTGTAAAAGACATGAAAGACTGGATGTCGAGTAACTTTCTCCTACTCAACTCAAGGAAAACTTTTAAAAAGACATACGTGTCTTCCTTTTCCACATCATTTTCTTGATTTTACTGTAAATCTCTTGCAGTTTTAGTCCATACATAAGAGGATTCATAAGAGGAGGAATGGCCAAACTTACAACTGGCATTATCACAGAAATAGTATGAGGTATATTTCCTTCTAATCTAGGGGTAATCACCTCAAAGCAGGAGAAAACACAGAAACTGATGAAAATAATAAGGTGTGGGAAGCAGGTCTGCAGAGCTTTTCTTCTGAACTCCTTTGAATTCTTTAAACAAACGTCAAATATTCTAACATATGAGTAGATTATGAAGATCAGTGCTGGAAATACAGTAAGAGTTACACAAAACAGTCCATATAAATTTGTAACTGATGTGTCTCCACAGCTCAGTTTTGCAATTGAGTAATCATTACAGTAAATTCTGTCTAAATGAAATTTACATAGCTGAAGTCGGGATGTTAGTATTATTAATATTCCAATTTCACAAGCAGGAAAAAAACAACAGCAAAATAAGAGCTTTTTCACAGTGGAAATTTTTACAAGAGTTGCATATTGTAATGGTTTACATATGGACACATATCTGTCATAGGCCATAGCAGTTAACAGTGTGAACTCTGAAGCTCCATACGTGTAAATGGAAAAGGCCTGAAAAAGACAGGCTGAGTAAGAAGTAACTGGTGTTTCAGACAGAAAATCACTCAGCAGTTTAGGATAAAGTGCAGTTGTTCCAAAAATTGAATTTAAAAGTAAAGCGGCAATGAAAATGTACATCGGCTCATGGAGACATTTGTTTGTGTAAATGACAAAAATGATGACAGCGTTACAACAAATAATCAACAAATAAACTGTGAGAGTAATTATAAAATAAAAATATCTGTACTTCTGCAGTTCTACATGCCCCTCCATTACCAAGTATGTAGCATTAGGAGAATTATCCATGAATTCCCATGAAGTAATCCAGAAAACAGTAACATTCTAGTTTAATCAGGCATCATCTACTAGAAATCCTAAGGAAAAATGATCTGTGGTTTTACAGTCGGGCAGTGCTGAGGAAAATGGCTGTATGTATTGTGTGTATTTATACTTTTTTCAAACAATGATGTCTACTTGTTTACTGACTAAGTGACTACTCTCTAGCCCTGCCCACCTTTGCTGCAAATATCCACTGAATTATGTGAGGACAAAAGGTGTCATTTCTTGGTGGTAAATATATTTTGTAAATAACTTTGATTACTATAATCCAATCAATAAATTAAGCTGTTTCATTCTCTGTCCAAAACTATTTTAATCTCTCTGTCTCCTGAAACCTTTTTCTATTTCTATTGCTGTTACTTTTGTCCTTTGCTCTGTGAAAGGTCCTGTCCTTGACCCTGGTTAAATTTATTTTCATATCACCTATTTAGTTCTTTTGTTCTGTTTCTGAACAGATTGTGATATGTTTGTGTCTTTAATTTATGGTCTGTTCTTGTCCTGGGTTTTTGTTCTGTTTCAGTCAACAATTTAGGCCCTGTTACTTGTCATGATGCTGGTGTTGTTTCTGGTCTTGATTCTGGTCCATTCTTTGTATCCCTGATTAAGACCTTTTTCCAAGTCAAGTGAAGTGGTATTTATTTTCATTCCTCAATATAAATGTAGACATTGGAATGAAATATCATTCTTCAGGTCCCAAACTCAAAACAGCAGCACATTACACATGACTACATAAAATACAATAGCATATCTGTGCAAAATGAAAACAGAATATGCAATAAATACATCAGACAATAAAAATACAGAACAATAAACATGCAAGACAAAACATAATAGACAGGACATCCAAACATTATCTATGAATGGGCTTCCTATATAGTGTGGCATTCTGCCACTGGAGCTTGCAAACAGGAATGCAAAAAGGATGATAAAGGGAGGGCCATGCACCCTCAGTGTTGTTGTAGTTGGTCAGTTTGAGATATATCCATGTGTTTATTAATTGTTTATGTGGCAGGTGGTGACACCTCAGTGACCTTCACAGCTGCCCTCACAATCAACTGTAGGGTCCTGCATATCGTGATCGTCCAGTTTCCATACCAGACATCTGGTCAGGTTGCTCTCTACTGCCCCTCTTTAAAATATAGTTATGATTGAATGGGAAGGGATTCACTTTCTTTATACTTCACAGAAAGTGAAGTTGCTGCTGGGCTTTCTTGGCTAGGAAAGTGGTATTGAAAGTCCAGGTGAAGTTGTCTGAAATTTGCATACAAAGTAATTTGGAGCTTTTGACTTTCTCCAAAGTTAAACCATTGATGTGAAGTGAAGAATTATCACAGCGAGGCCTCCTGAAGTCAACAATAATCTCTTTCATCTTTTCAATATTAAGACATAGATTGTGTCTATGTACCAGTCTTCAAGCCACTCCACCTCTGCCTTGTCTGCTGAAGAGTCATTGTTGCTGCTAAGACCCACCACTGTAGTATCATGAGCACACTACAGGATGTGTGTTTACAGCACAGTCATGTGTGAACTGTGAACAAGCAGGGACCAAGCACACAGCCCTGGGGAGCACCAATGTGCAGCATAGTGTTGCTGGAGGAGGTCTTGCTGATCCTGACAGACTGAGGTCTCACAGTCAGGAACTCCATGATCCAGTTGCAGAGGGATGTTTTCAGACTTAGCAAGCTCAGGATTCCAATATGTTTCTGTGGTATAATAGTGTGGAATGCTGAACTAAAGTCTATGAACAGCATTCTTGCATAATTGTCTTTTCTGTCTAGGTGGGCCCGTGAGAGGTGAATGGCAGAGGATATGGTGTCCTATGTAGACAGAAAGGGCAATACATGAACTGAAATGGATCCAGTGTGGAAGAAGACTGCACTGTATGCTCTATATGTGTTTATTACAAAGTGCTGAAGCCTGATTGGCAGAACCCCCAGCCCCGCCCGCAGTAGATCCTACTTCTGAAATCCCTCCAGTTAATCCAATTAATGTACAAGCCCCCAGACCAGATCCTAATTTGACCCCTTTGGAAAGGTATAATGAAGTCCCTGGACAGTGTATAAGGTTCCTCCTGCAATGCACATTGGCATTTCAGCAGCAGCCCTCTAGGCTCCCCACTGAATGCTCTGAAGTAGCGTACGTCATCTCGCTACTTATGGGCTGAGCCTTGGCTTGGGCTACCCCTGTGTGGGAGAACAGTGTAAACATGTGCTCCTCCTCAGAGCTGTTTATGGCCGCAATGAGCCACACATTTGATCACCCAGTCTGTGGGAAAGTGGTTGGTTTTCATCTCTTCCAATCAAGGCAGGATAAACATTCAGTGGCAGACTACGCCATCAAGTTTCACGTTCAGGCCGCAGAGAGAGGTTGCAAAGAAGAGGGATTGAAGGTTACCTTCCAACAGGGCCTCAGCAGCAGGGTCAAAGATAAGCTGGCCACTCGTCACACACCAGACTCTCTGGAAGAGCTCATTAAATAGGCTCTCAAGCTGGACAACTGACTGTGGGAGCACAGTAGAGATTGAGGGTCCACATGCTTGCAGGTAAGAACACCATCTACTATTACCAGCCCATGCAGTTGGGGTGCACCCGCCTCTCCTGTCAGGAGAACACTCATATGCAGTTGCCCTGAGCTTGAGGGAAAAGCCAGGGTCTACTGCAGGGAGAGAGGGTTGTAACAGACCCAGATCAGTCCTTCAAGGCACCTGGGCTGTTCCTGACAGCCACCCTCTATTGGGGAGGATATCTCAAGAAGAGGCTCCAGGTGTTTGCAGATTCTTAATTGACATCACCCTGGCCGTTGATTTAGCTCAGGGCAGGTAATGCAACAGACTTACCCTGTCACTTTGCAGCTAGTTCAACACACTGAGCAGATTTGCTTGCTGCTCATCCAGGCTCCTGAACTGCAGCTGCTGTTGGGGTTACCCTGGCTGCAATGGCACTAACCCTGCAAAAGTCGCTAGTCAGTCAAGCACACCTCTGCCCAACGTTCACTTATTTAGAGTCCTCTCTGAGTATCCTGACCTGGCAGAGGTCTTCAGTAAGGTAAAGGCCCAGATCTTACCACTGCACCGGTACCATTGTGCTATCAACCAAGTCTGGGTACCACCCCTCCTAGAGGTAGGTTGTTTTCCCTTTTGGGTCCTGAAAAGACCGTTATGGACAAATACATCAAAGAAGCCCTGGCACCGAGTTCATCCAACCGTCCACCCCACCAGCTGGGAGGAGAAGGGAAGAAGGACAGGGACCTTCATCCCTGCATTGACTACAGAGGGTTAAACAAAATTATGGTTAAGGACCACTTTCCCCTGCCTTTGATGACCTGAGCATTTGAGGCACTGCAGCAGGCCTTGGTTTTTACCAAACTGGACCTGCACAGTGCCTATAACCTCATTAGGGTGTGCCAGGAAGATGAATGGAAGACTTTATTAAGAAGGTCCTTAGATAAACTTTAAACCACTCCATGTTCGTCTACCTAGATGATATCCTCATTTATAGTTGGTCAGTAGCTGAACGCATGGCTCATGTCCACAAAGTACTCCAGCTCTTGCTGGCATTTATATGTTAAGCTTGAGAAATACATCTTCCATGCTCAGTCAGTTAACTTCCTCAGGTTTGTGGTCTCCAAGAACTAACTGATCATGGACCCAGCTAAGACTCAAGCCATCACAGAATGGCCATGCCCCACACCCTTTAGCTAAGTTCAAAGATCTCTAGCCTTTGCCAATTTTTTCTGCTGATTCATTCAGAACTTTAGCACTGTGGCTGCCCTGCTGACTGCCCTTACTAAGACATACAGTGGGGAAAAAGGGAATGAGATGCTTCCAGTGGACCCCTGAAGCAGAGAAAGCTTTTGACTATAAGATCTCAAATTCATATCGTTGGCCTGTTATGCTGAGACCTTTCACCCTCAGTCTAACAGGCAGACTGAGAGGATAAACCAGGATGTTGAAAGAACACTCCGGTGCCTGGCATCTGCTAGGCATTCCACCTGGTCTAAACATCTGCTGTGGGTGGAGTATGCCCATAACTCTGTGGATGTCACCCTTTGGGTGTCAATTTGGGTATCCTCTGCTCATGTTTCCTGAGCAGGAGCTGGAAGTCAAGGTCCCCCTAGCTTTGTTTTGCGTTGTCAGCGATCTTGGCAGAAGTCCCGCACCGTGCTACAAAAGCTGGTGCATGGAAAAAAGAAGACGGCAGACCATAGACAACATTTGGGTCCCTTCTTCTGCCCAGGGCAGCAAGCATAGCTCTACACTAAGGATCTACTCCTAAAGAGTCCATAGGTCCTTTAGAGGTGGAGAATCATATCAGCCTGTGGCATACTGACCTTCCCTCCCCCGGAACATGCGCATCAACCCAACATTCCATGTTTTCTGCCTGAAACTGGTCCTCTGTAGACCCAAAGAGTAACAGCTACTTATTTCTGCTCAGTCTTGAGTTTACACTGCTACTTGCATGTCTCAGACTAAGCCAGTAATTTATCTTAAGTTCTGGTTTCTCGTGTATCTCTCAGTATAAAAAAAACTCCAGTGCACTTTTAGTGACTGCATTATCTTTCATTTTAAGATGCTGCTCTGGTGTTTCTTTTGTTTGGCCTTAAACTCTCCTCTTTTGTTTGTAAACCCTCCTATGAAACTGACAGCGCTGCCATGATAGCTCAGCAATAATGCACTTGCTCCCGCATCAGAAATTCACAAGTTCGGAGCTTACCTCTTGTGCTTGACCAGTGCCTACCCCATAGCGTTCTGGTATTTGAACAAAAGAACTGCCAGTTCAGTCCCTGCTGGGGGTAAGTCAGCCATCACACTACAAGTGGTACTGTGTGCTGATTTAAATGTTTTAAATTTTATTCTAAAGTTTGGAAATAACATACAGAAATATAAGAGGATATCTTTGGATCTTTGGATTGAGTGGCTTTTGCAGCCTCTTTGATATGAGGGCCTGTCTTGAAACTCTCTCACTGGCCAAGTTCTTGGACCTCTACCATATTGCCTTTAACCTTTTGCCAATCACTTGAGCTCCAGCACATGTGTTACAGAGCATGTTGCTGGTAATGTAAAGGGTGTGAAACTATTACAGCCGGGTAGGCAACCTTGAGGCCATTCCTGTGCGCAATATAAGCAATACTCTGTGTGCAATATTTTTAAAATCTCTATAGTGTAAAGATTTTTTGCTTTTCTATTTATAATGTTTATATTGTTAACTCCTCACCATCCCAAATGTAATATGAATCAGTACCTCATGTGCAATTCATTGAGCAATATGATAAGGTAAAATATCCCTACTGTGTAAATATTTTTGTTTTTATTTATTTATAATTCTTTATATTATTATTTTTTGTGAAAGAGTTTATATTTTTTTATCTTATTTTTTAGTTTTAGTAATATATATATTGTCTAAAAAGGTACATGTAACAAACTGTAAAACCTTAAGTAATTAACAAGGAAATTACTTGCTTGTTAATTTTCTTCTTGTTACTTCTTTTCTTGAGTCTCCGTGGGACTAATAAAGGATCATCTCATCTCATCTCATCTTGGGTCTAACAGCACTGCCCTATGATCCAGACATAAACATTTTGCCAGTATTAGCTTCACAGCACCACCCTTCACTCTAGAGCAAACCAGTGAGCCATTGCCAGGTTACACAGCACTGCCTAGTGCTTCAGAGAACATTACTGACTGAAGTCTCAGCTAATCTAGTCCTCCTGCCTGTGGCTGAAGACTTAGCTGCCCCTATCCTCCAGTGTCTGGCTGAGGGCCCAGCAACCCCTGTCCTTTTGCCATTTGCTAAAGGCCCAGTCACTTCTGTCCGCCTGCCTGTGGCTGAAGCTCCAGTTGTTTTTCACCTACAGACTGAAGCAGAAGGCTCAGTTGATCCTGTCCTCCTGCCTGTGGCTGAAGTCTTCCTGTGGTTTTCTGTGCCACTATAGTGCCAGCTACTTGTCCTGTTACAGTACTGATTTCCTGTCCTGTTTCAACATCGTCCTTCTAGAGTCTGTTTCAGACGGATACCCAGTCTCATGCATAGCTGGCCTGGTACCCTCAGACTGCATCCTTGGCCTTTCTGCAATGGAACACGGGCAGACATGTATGTTTCCCTAGGAGTGTGATAGAACTCTGACATGGGTTTATATGTTACAGTACACATGTTTTAGAACTCAGGTATGAATGTTTATATTAAGGTATAAGTGTAGCGGAAGTCAGGTGTGAATGTCTGTCTTAGTGTATAGGTTCAGCAGAATGTAAGTAGTCATGGGCTGAAGGTTAGGGAACTAGCCTTGTGACCGGAAGGTTGCAGGTTCAACTCCTCAGCTGATAGTACATTCCTGAAGTGCCCTTGAGCAAGGCACCTAACCCGAGTTGCTCCCTAGGCGCTGTGGATAGGGCTGCCAACTGCTCCAGGCCAATGTGCTTAATGCCCCCTAGTGTGTGTTCACTAGTGTGAATGTATGTGGGTGTTTCACTGCACGGATGGGTTAAGTACGGAGGTCTAATTCATCTGTGTGCAAAACACAGTAGGCTAATGGTTCTGAATTCTGAAGTATAGATGTATGTATTACTGTAATATTGTGGTAGAACTCTAGTATAGAGGTCTGTATTACTGAATAATTGTGGTAGAGCTCAGGTGTGGATGTCTCTGGTTATAAACGCGGTAGGAATTAGATTTATTGGACTGTTTTGAATCTAAAACTTCCACTGATGATTGCTTTGCAACATTTTGCTACTGTATACAAAGTACTTTGATTTGCAAACATACTTGGCCAATAAAACTTTTATTATTCGCTGACCAAGGAAATGTAACTTTGCTAGTCCTCCCTTATCTTAGTGCCATATTTGATACGAAAGACCACGCTATCTCACTAGATGTGTAACGGTTGAGGCAAGGAGGCGGGATGCAAATGCGAGTTGCTTTTATTCAAAGTTAGAGTCAGAGTTAGAGTCCATAATCTCAGTAGAAGAAGATTGAAAAACAGACAAGTCCAAGACAAAAACAAAAACAAACTACAAGAAGAAAGCAAACAAGAGACAAGGAAACTTCCACAAACACATCCACAATGCAAGACAGAGACTGAACAAACACAGGGGTATAAATACACAGAGGGGAAACAAGAAACACCTGTGACTAATGAGGGGTGGAGCTACAGGCAGGTGGAACAGATAACAAGGGGCAGGACCAGGGAGGAGACAGGACAACAACAAAAAGCACATGGTACAAGAAAACAAAAGACACATGGCTACAACAGAGGGGAAAAAACAGACACTCAGAGGGACAAAGGGAGAATCCGTGACAAGATGGACTAGAAAACCTTGTAGAGGTAACAGGAACAGCTCTTTCCTGGTTCAGATCTTACCTGACTGATCGCTATCAGTTTGTAAATATAAATGGTGAATCGTCTGTTCAAACAAAAGGAAGATATGGTGTTCCACAGGGCTCTGTTTTAGATCCTCTATTATTTGCATTATATTTGCTACCACTGGGTATCATTATCAGTAAACATGGCATGAATTTTCACTGCTATGCTGATGACACACAATTATACATAGTGACCAAATGAGATAATAAATTTCAACTTAAGATTGAAGACTGTATAAAAGACATAAAAGACTGGATGTCAAGTAACTTTCTCCTACTCAACTCAGAGAAAACAAGTTCTTCTTCTTGGTCCAAAAGCTGCTAGAAACAAAGTATCTAATTTAATGCCTAAACTTGATAGTTTCTCAGTTGCATCAGGTACATCTGTAAAAAATCTTGGTGTCATGATAGATCCTGATCTGTCCTTCGATGCACATGTAACAAATACTACTAGAATAGCTTCCCTGCATCTCTGTAATACTGATAAATCAAGAAATGCATTATCTCTACAGGATGCAGAAAAGCTAGTTCATGCATTTCTTACCTCAAGGCTAGATTAATATATTACTGCTATCTGGATGTTCCAGCAAAAGCCTTAACAAACTTCAGCTATTCCAGAACACTGCAGCCAGAGTCTCACAAGAACCAAAAATTTTTTACCATATCAGCCTAATTTTATCAAAACTAGACTGGTTGCCAGTTAAATTTTGGATTGATTACAAAATTCTTTTACTGACATATAAAGCTCTAAATGGCCCCTCAGTACCTGAGTGAACTTTTCACTTATTATGAACCATCACGCCTACTTAGATCACAAGGTGCTGCTCACTATTAGTACCTAGAATTAATAAACCTACATCAGGCAATGGAGCCTTCTCATACAAAGCCCACTGGCTTTGGAATAATCTTCCAGTCAATGTTTGGGACTCAGGCACAGCCTCAGTGTTTAAGTCTAGGCTAAAAACCCCTTAGTTTAGTCGAGACTTTAATATTTTTTTTTTCTGTCAGATAAAAGGTGCAGATCTGGGGGTTCATGGTCAGAGAGTATTATGGTAAACTGGGAGTGTTGGTGCTGTTGTTCCGCTGCCTCATGCACTCACTCAGGTTTGCTGACGGTGGAGTGGAAGGGCGCCGACATCTCAGGGAGCCTCATGACTCATTACCTTCTGTCTTTCCATCTTAGTGAAGCTGTAATAGCTCGACCTGCCGGAGTCTCTGCTGCTCTGTTAACCGTATAAACTGTAATCAGCCTCTCTTTACAGAACTGACACTCTGTGTTTCTTTTTCTTTGGCAAGTTGAACAGCTGCCCATCCTGTGTGTCTGATGCTGTTGCTTCTTCTGCCTTGATCAGTTGCCCACTGCTCGCCAGCTTTCTGGACCAGTTTGACATTCTTGGAGCTTCCTGCTGTACATTGCTGTGCAGACCTCGCCTGCCTGATGATACTGCTGCTGCATAACTAATTAACTATAGCCAGACCTCAGCTAATTAATTACAGCCATTGCTTCACCTGTTTTTCCCCTTATCTGCATTTTATTATTTTTTACTAAAGTTAAAACTTTATCCTCTGTTCATTTTGCTGTTGTGTCACTGTTTCCTATCTGGTGTCGACCAGAGGAGGATGGGTTCCCCTTTTGAGTCTTGGTTCTTCTCAAGGTTTCTTCCTCTTCCTTTAGGAAGTTTTTCATTCCACCATTTGCTTGCTCATTGGGGTTCAGACTCAGATTTTTCTGTAAAGCTGCTTTGCAACAATGCCTGTTGTAGAAATTGCTATGTAAATAAAATTTGACTTGACTTTAACTTTGAATGTGGGAATGTCAATGTTGTGCTCTGCTTGGATCTTAATTTAGTGGAGGACTAGACTAGAATGGACAGGAGTTCTCTCAGAGAGACTTTTCTAATATATTTCTGACAGGATTCATACTGTGATTAAGGAAAGGGTGTTGATACCAAAGTATTAGAGCAGGGATGGGGGAGTAGCTAAGTAGCGCGCTACTTTTTGTAGCTAACTACAGATTTTGGTAGCTAATAGCAGAAGGAGATACAGTTTTATGAAATGTAGCTAATAGCTGTGGCGCCTACAATGTTTTGTGTAGCTATAGCGAAAATTTCACTTAAGGCTTCAGTCAATCCGCGCAAATTGCGAACCATAGAATTTGGTTGTTAACGCGGCTGGTGGCGACTGTGCAATCCTGACTGAGCCGCAGACAGTTCGAGCAAACGGTACTTTGCTCTACTTTAGCCTTTAGCTCAGCTGTAGCTGCTTTTCTCGCACCTCAGTCATGAAACTTCTCTGCAAATTTCTTGTAAAATGTCTCTCAATGTTTGACTTTTTATGCGGCTGAAGTCGCTTCTCATTCACCAGCTTCTTGTTCAAATTGTCCCGTTTCATGTTGCGCCATTTAAGGTGGAACGGGAGAATTCGAATTCAGCTTCATGAGTTGTTGCGGATTAAACATATGAGGAAACCAGCTGAGTGCTTATAAATGCAAATAAGTCCATTCACTTCCAAATTTTTGTTGATTGTTGTTATTAAAAACCTGGAATGATTGACTCTGCCATTACTAAGTCTAAATTTTTGTTGGATATCACACCTTTGATTGTGTAAGTTTGATGTTGGTTACACTTAAACTTACTTTTTGGTGATCTTTTTGTATACTTGCAGCTTTTCAATCATATGTTTCTTTCTGGCACATGATTCAATGCAGTGTCTTGTTCACAGTTGGGCTTGTTTGGTGTGTCAGGTGGGGATTCACAAACATTCTGGCAATCACGCTCTTAAAGTAGCTAAACCGTAGTGCACTACTTTTTCTGGAAAAGTAGCTAAATTGTAGCAGCTACAAATTTTGGGAAAGTAGTTACAAGTAGCTAACTACTAATTTTTCAGGAGCTATCCCAACTCTGTATTAGAGAAGGAATAATGAATACAACTATTTTATCCACCTTACAAGCATCAGTACACAGAAAGTGCACTTACAGCTGTTAATAATAAGCAGAACCAAAAACTGAGGTGTCTGTATGAGCTGGAGGTCAGTAAGCTGGCAACAATGAGTGGTGTAAAGTGGAAAGAGGTTGTTGATTTATGTTTATAACAGTGACTTAAAAAAATACATAAATATGCATCTGACTGATGAAAAATGTTTCTGTACTTTACATTTTAGTATTTAATTGACGACAGGTTAGGTGTTGGAGTGAGAACAAATCTAAGGAACTAATCTACAGTAAAGCAAACTCACTTCACTGATTCAGCAGGAGGATGAGAATCGTACTGTATCACAGTGAAGATGGCAGTTTAAATTTGTTTTCATTTTCAGTTTCTACATGTCCTTTAAAGCTGAATTCTATCATTTATATAGATTATGTGTATAATAATGAGTCAGGTGTACTTTCCAGCTGTAATGAATAACTGAAGTATAGGTTTCTGTGTATAGTAAAAGGTCAGCAGCTTTGTTTTGTAAATACAATTAAAGTTCAATGTTTTCTGGATAAAGAAAGCAACAGCCTCTGCAGGACAGTCCAATTGTTTTTAATGGTCAGCATGTATATTCTATCTTATTCTAGTTTCATATGCAGGGGTAATTTATGCTCATATAAATGTAACAGTGACATGATAAGATGCATAAATATGCATAGCACAAATGTTCAAACTGCTGGAAAGATACAGGAAGAAAATACAGAAATAATATATTTTTGGTTCACATGTATACAGAATAAGAAGAATCACAAAGGTTTACAGTAAAACATTTAAAAAGATGTATGTATCTTCCTTTTACACATTATTTTCTTGATTTTACTGTCAATTTCTTGCAGTTTTAATCCATACATTATAGGATTGATAAGAGGAGGAAAGACCAAACCTAAAATTGGCATTATCTCAGAAATAGTATGAGGTATATTTCCTTCTAATCTAGGGGTAATCACCTCAATGCAAGAGAAAACACAGAAACTGATTAAAATGAAAAGGTGTGGGAAGCAGGTCTGCAGAGCTTTTCTTCTGAACTCCTTTGAATTTTTTAAACAGATTTCAAATATTCTAACATATGAGTAGATTATGAAGATCAGTGCTGGAAATACAGTAAGAGTTACACAAAAGAGTCCATATAAATTTGTAACTGATGTGTCTCCACAGCTCAGTTTTGCAATTGAATAATCATTACAGTAAATTCTGTCTAAATGAAATTTACACAGCTGAAGTCGGGATGTTAGTATTATTAATGTGCCAATTTCACAAGCAGGAAAAAAACAACAGCACAATAAGAGCTTTTTCACAGTGGAAATTTTTATAAGTGTTGCATATTGTAATGGTTTACATATGGACACATATCTGTCATAGGCCATAGCTGTTAACAGTGCAAACTCTGAAGCAGCATATGTGTAAATAAAAAAGGCCTGAAACAGACAGGCTGAGTAAGAAGTAACCTGTCTCTCAGACAGAAAATCACTCAGCAGTTTAGGATAAAAGGCAGTCGTTCCAAAAAGTGAATTAAAAAGTAAAGCAGCAATGAAAATGTACATCGGCTCATGGAGACATTTGTTTGTGTAAATGACAAAAATGACAACAACATTACAACAAATAATCAACAAATAGACTGTGAGAGTAATTATAAAATAAAAATATCTGTACTTATGCAGTTCTATATGCCCATCCATTACCAAATACGTAACATAAGAAGAATTATCCATGAGTTCCCATGAAAAACCCATAAATCTTTAACATATTAGAGTTGTCTGTAAGATGTGGTGCTGGTCACAGTAACATTCTACTTTAATCAGGCATCATCTTCTAGAAATCCTAATGAATGATGATCTGTGGTTTTACAGTCTGTGGTGAGGAAAACAGCTTTGTGTGTATTTATACTTTTTTCAGACAGTGATGTCTACTTGTTTACTGACTAAGTGACCAGTCTCTAGCCCTGCCCACCTTTGTTTCTATTGCAACAGTTAAAAACAGAATTGCAAATATCCACTAAATTATGTGAAGAAAATTTGTGTCATTTCTTGGTGGTAAATATATTTTGTAAGTAACTTTGATTACTATAATCCAATCAATAAATTAAGCTGTTTCATTCTCTGTCCAAAACTCTTTTAGTCTCTCTGTCTCCTGAAACCTTTTTCTATTTCTATTACTGTTACTTTTGTCCTTTGCTCTGTGAAAGGTCCTGTCCTTGATCCTGGTTAAATTTCTTTTCATATCACCTATTTAGTTTTCTGTTGTTGTTGTTGTTCTGTTTATGAACAGATTGTTATATGTTTGTGTCTGTAATTTATGATCTCTTCTTGTCCAGAGTTTTTGTTGTTTCAGTCACCAATTTAGGCCCTGTTACTCGTCGTGATGCTGGTACTGTTTCTGGTCTTGATTCTGGTCAGTTTTTGTGTCCCTGATTAAGACCTTTTTCCAAGTCAAGTAAAGTCATATTTATTTTCATTCCTCAATATAAATTTAGCCATTGGAATGAAATATCATTCTTCAGGTCCCAAACTCAAAACAGCAACACATTACACATGACTACATAAAATACAATCACACCAGTGCGAAACGAATGCAGAATATGCAATAAATACGTCATACAATAAAAATACAGGACAAAAAGACAAGACAAAAAATAGTAGACAGGACATCCAAACATTATCTATAAATGGGCTTCCTATATATTGCGGCATTCCGCCACTGTCTGCGCAGCCACTGGAGCTTGCAAACATGCATGCAAAAAGGGTGAAAAGGGTGAAAATGGAGGGCCATGTGAGGCATGCACTCTCAGTAAAAGGGACTGTTTTTAGTTTTGTTGTAGTTGGTTAGTTTGAGATGTGTTCATGTGTTTATTAATTGTTTATGTCGTGGGTGGTGGGTTGAGTTAGCCAAGTTAAATTTGTACCGTAGAGTGGAATTTTATGGCTTTAAGTGACCTTCTCAGCTGTTTAGGGTTTTAGGTAAAAGGATTTTCTGCCATGTTCAAAATAAAAGAGCTTGTTTTGAATGGTGGGTAAAGACACCTTAATGATCTTCACAGCCAGCTGTCCTCACAATCCCCTGTAGGGTCCTGGGGTCCGTGATGGTGCAGTTGCTATACCACACAGTGAGATAGTTTGTCAGGGCGCTATCTACTGTTCCCCTGTGGAATATATATATATATATATATATATATATATAGAGAGAGAGAGAGAGAGAGAGAGAGTGAAGTTGCTGCTGGGCTTTTTTGCCTAGGCAGGTGGTTTTGAGGGTCCAGGTAAAGATGTCTGTAACTTGCGCACCAAGGAACTCTTTCGAGCTCTCTCTACAATTAAACCATTGATCTGCAGTGTAGAATTATCTTTTTATCATCATCTATTAATGTAAGATGAAAGAGAATCTTTTCTTTCATCTTACATTAATAGATAAGATGTTGTGTCTACACCAGTCTGCAAGCCACTCTACTTCCTCCTTGTATGCTGTCTTGTCATTGTTATTGATAAGATCCACCACTGCAGTATCATCAGCAAATATATGGATGTAATTTGAGCTCCGCTTTGCAGCACAGTCAAGAAGTCGAGGATCCAGTTGCAGAGTGATGTGTTCAGGCCCAATAAGCTCAGCTTTCCAATAAGTTGCTGTGATTTGATTGAGTGGAATGCCGAGCTGAAGTCTGTGAACAGCATTCTAATATAATTGTCTTTTCTGTTTAAGTGGGCCAGTGAGAGGTCAATGGCAGAGGATATTGTGTCCTATGTTGACTGGTTAGTGTGATATTTGAAGTGAAATAGGTCCAGTGTGGAAAATAGTCTGCCATTTGCATGCTTCGTTACTAAGAGTTAACCCACGGAAAGCTGCCGGACCAGACAACGTTCCTGGCCGAGGGCTCAGGGAATGTGCAGACCAACTAGCGTAAGTTCTTAAGGATATCTTCAACATCTTCCTAATGAGGTGTATTTAGAAGAATAGTTTTATAAAACAAGGTAAAACCACTCTTAACTTCTATAAGTATCAGGTGAGGTCTGAAGTCTGAGTTATCTGTCTTGCAGGGTTTTGGAATGTTTATGTTAAAGGGGCCCCCTGGTCCAAAGGTCTGTCTCTTAGTTCCACATAGATGAGATCAATTTAAAAAGGGCCATATGTTCAGTTTGCTTTTTCAACAACAAGCACCCTATATAAGCAGCTGGTTTATTCTGTTTTGGGGGGGACACAATTGGCACGGATCCTCTCTCAGGTACTTTATAGTGCTTGATATGATACCATTTTACTTTGTAATAAACATCTTATGCAAGTAATGCAGTGTCAGCAGAGACTTCTTCATCATCTTCACATCATCGCTGCTTAATAAACAACATATTTGGCATCACGAACTTCGGACGTGATGTGGCTGCTGCGTCGCCGACAGCCTTAGCGCACTTACTCCCGCACCTAGCCGGCAATTAAGGTGAGCGCTGGTTTGTTCGTTGAGGCTGTTGGGTGTTTGCTGTCTAGTCGCACCGTAAAGAATCATGTGTGTGCATGCCATGCTGTGTTGATGTTTGGAGTATTTCTCCGTTCTAAATTGGGGTTTATTGCATTGTGCACGCCGCAATAAAAAGGGGGAGTATAATAGAGGAAAGGAAAGCTGATGTAAAAGTGTAGAATAGCCTAATTAGTAACGATAAGGTGAGCTAAATAACATCATGCGAGATTAATGAAGGTTGGGCCCTTATCTTCTGAACGGTAAGACATGTGTATATTAGTCACTGCATGAAAGTTGGCTTAGAGAAATAGTCAGATTAGGTTAAAAAGGGGAAAAAGTGTAAAGTAACAGCCCAGGGCCCTGGGGGAAATTAGATTAGAGGGGGAAATTAATGGGGAAAAAGAGAAGTTAAAGAAAATAGAGATGAGAAGAGTTAAAGAGAAATAAGAGAGGTTAAAGAAAACAGAGAAGGGTTAAAAGAGAAAAGGAGCCGCAGATTTGGACCAAAGCCCTCTGGGAGGCGGTTTTAGACGGGCCTAAAATCCGGGAGAATCACTAGGTGAATTTCAGGTCAGTTCTAAGGAACTGGAGGTGTGGAAGGGAAAATTCAATTGTAAAGTTCCCACTCGAACACTAGTTGACAAACAGTGTCTGAAGCAGCTTTTTATTGAATATTCACACCTCATAAAGGAGCATAAATTTAGAAGTAAAAGAGAAAAAGGAGCGTCAGGAAAAAGCATGCTATAGGATAAGTATGAATGAGTCGACTTTCAGATTGAGTGTTGTTTTTTGTTTCCTGTGTTTTGGAGCTTGCTCTGTGTTCTTGTGTGAGGGCCCCCCCCTTACTGTGTGTGTGTGTGGACCTGGGTTCTGTGTGTGTGTTGCTTGTCTTGGCGGTGCTCCAGCTGTGTGACTGGCTTTAGGAATGTATAAATGATAGGGTGTAAAAGCATATGAACTTCTTTGATTTTGTTAAAATCCATGAGCCGGTCTTGGGGGACATTTTTGGATCTGATAACATTTATGAGCCTCAAAAAGAAAAAAAAGACTTTTATAAATTTATATAAAACACTCATGAGCCCTTTCAGGGGACTTTGATAAGCTTTATGAGCCCCCAGGAAGGACGTTTATGATTTTGGAGAGGAGTGGAGAGACCAGTGAGGATGTTTGTGTGCATGGGTAAAGAAAAATTTAATAAGTATTATTAATAATGTGCTAAGGTGTTATTAGAGTGAAATAAACTGAAATTTCTTTATTGATGATAACTGGGTGTTTAAAGGAGGAAAACATTTGTTACAGATACAAATGACCTAAGTGTTGGCAGATAAAGGGTGTAAATTATATGGAGTTGCTTATTGTGTTATTAAAAATAATTCTGATTTGTTTCTTCCTTTATCCACCTGTGGGGTGTGTGAGAATTGGAGAAGAGAAAGAGGGAGAGATAAAAAAAGATAGATAGAAGAAGAAACAGGAAAAGAGAAGAATAACAGAAAGAGGGTGAGCAAAGAAAGTGATGAGAGAGAAGGATAGAGAGAAAGTCAGAAAGAGAAAAGAGAGAAAAGTCTATGTGTAGAGAGAGAGAGAGAGAGAAGAGAGAGGAAGCAGTAGGTCAGTGCTGACACGGAGTGAGGTCTAATGATTGAGGAGACAAAGGGGTCAGCTCATGTTGCAAGGGGGGAAGTTAGGAGAAAGATTACAGAGGAGTAAAATGTGTGGAGAGAGGGTTATATAACTCGTAAGGTAGTTGTGATAGCAGATTTGAGTTCTTCTGAAGTTATCATGGTTACTAAAAGAGTTCAGGAACGATTCACCACAGCAACCACTCCAAGGGTGAATACTGCATCGATGAGGTTATTGCTGTAGCTACGACTTTGAAGGGGATGAATGCTACTACAGGGAAGGCGACAATTTCTACTTTTGTTACTTCGGGAAATATTACAAGTGAGGTTGGGCCAAGGACAACCTTTGCTAAAAAAACAGTGACGACATCTCTGTCACCTACTAAATTTGTAATTGTAACACAGACACCTGATATGACATCTTGGACCCTTAAAGAAGGAGCAAATATAACCCAGAAGCCTATGTTAAAGATAGAGCTTAGTGTGAATAGTAGTAATGAGATTTTTGAACCTAGAGAACAGATAGTGGAAGAGCATGATGCAGATTTATCTGTGACAGCTGAGAAGACTATTTTAGATGTGGAAGAGGAGTTTTTTGACTTTGACTGGACACCAGAAGACGTGACTGACCATTATTGTGTATTAAAGAAGAGAG